TGCCAGATTTATGCTGATAAAATTCATGTGCCTATGACACTTCTCAATGTTATTTCTTCCCCATGGCCTTTCTCTATGTGGGGCATTGAAATGATTGCAATGATTGAACCTAAGGCGTCAAATGGACATAATTTTATCTTGGTAGCGATAGACTACTTCACCAAATGGGTGAAAGCAGCTTCCTATGCTAATGTTACTAAGCAGGTGGTAGTACGCTTTATCAAGAACAATCTTATATGTCAGTATGGTGTGCCAAGTAGGATTATCACTGACAATGGCTCGAATCTAAATAACAATATGATGATAGAACTTTGTGAAGAAATCAAGATTTTCCATCACAATTCATCTCCTTACAGGCCAAAGATGAACGGGGATGTTGAAGCTGCTAATAAGAACATTAAGAAGATCATCCAGAAAATGGTTGTTACCTATAAAGATTGGCATGAGATGCTCCCATTTTCTTTGCATGGGTATCGTACATTCGTCCGCACTTCAATAGGGGAAACCCCGTTCTCTCTTATGTATGGTATGTAATAAGTGCTCCCCGTTGAGGTTGAGATTCCATCTTTACGTGTGATAATGGAAACCAAGTTGTCACAGGATGAATGGGTCCAGAACAGGTTTGACCAGTTGAATTTGATTAAAGAGAAAATAATGAGAGCCTTGTGTCATGGCCAGTTATACCAGAAGAGAATGAAGAAAGCTTTTGATAAGAAGGTCAAGCCTCGTGAATTCAGAGAAGGCGACCTCGTGCTCAGGAAGATCATGTTTTTCAACGCTGATTCAAGGGGCAAGTGGACTCCCAATTTTAAAGGCCCATATGTTGTCAAGAAAGCCTTCTCAGGTGATGCATTGATTCTTAAAACTATGGATGACGAGGAGTTCCCATATCCTTTGAATGTTAATGCAGTCAAGAAATACTTTGCCTAAAGAAATAAAAGAACAACTCGCTGAGTCGAAAACCCTAAAGGGTGGCTTAGGCAAAAAAGAGAGCGTCTCGGTAGGTTGAAAACCCGAAAGGGAGGTCTAGGCAAAAATAAGAGACACAAACAGAATAAATTTTCCTACTAGGTTGAAAACCCGCAAGGGCAACCTAGGCAAAAGTTAGGGATTTCTTGGAAAGTAACTGCATCAGACAAGACTTGATCATTGAAGCAACAATCTTCTTGGATCCCCACCATACTTCAACATAAGTCGCTGCTCAGGAATTCAAAGTTGTTAGGGAGAATAGCGGTCATTGTGTTTCAATGTATCTTTTCCAATATATTACCATTTTCCAAACTTTATAATCATCTATGGGGTCTCGCATTCGCAGACTACCATTTTATTAATAAAGTTTGAGCTTTTATCCAATTCTTTGTAATTCCTATTTTATTCTGCTTGTAAAGATTCCATTTATTATTGATAGTAATTTTCAAAGCAAATAGATTTAATAATAAAATTGTTTTCAAAAATAATTTACAAATTACTTTTTATTTTAGATTTTGTGACTCAAGAAAAACAAAATAGTGATTTCGAGGATGGGCGAACTCTGAAGTTTTGGAAGTATATATTCCCCAGGAAAGTTCTTTCAGGTCGCTTTCGCTGATATGCGTATGATCTTCTTGTTTTTTCTCAAATATTTGGAGATGACACCAATTGAGGTATGGTGCAGTGTTGGGTTTGTAATCCCATTTTCCCCAGTCAAGTCTTGGTTCAGTTTTTCCTCCAGGATGTTTATTTTAATTTCGGGTTTTGCATGGTCTGAAGCCTCTATTCTAGATTCCCCAGTGAGGTCTTCAATCATATGATGGAAATTCCTTCTCCCTTTATGTAATAAGGTGGAATCATTTGCAAAATATCGCCTTTTTATAGTGTTGGCATTATTATTGTTGTTTGTTTTCTAGGCGACTAAACAAGGCCAATATATTTTCTAAGAGTGTTGAAACGGTTGTCAACTTTTTGGGTTTTCTCTCGCCAAGCGCTGGGTTTGATTTAAAATCCCCATAATTATGATTTCTTGTTGTATTGTTTAACTTCTTAGATCCCCAAGTAAAGTTGAGTTAATGTTTCTCTCTGGAAGTTGTTATCCCCGTGCGATTTCATAATTTCTCCCCAGGGAAGTTTATGTAATCATACTTCTTAGTATTAAAGAATGTATTTTAGGTTCCTCTCAATGTTGTGGTGTTGTACTACCTAATGAAGTCAGCACGGCATCCCCAACTGATATCTCGACAACATGGTTTTCATCTGCCCTAATGAAGTCAATATTGTAATCCCCAGTGGAAGTACATATGTTGAAGCATTGTTTTCTCCATTAAAGTCTGTGTGATGTCCCCCAGTGAAGCCTGAAGGAGGATGTTATATCCCTGTATCTGTCTTGATTTACTGTTTTGATTTGATTATTTTCAGATTAGGTTCCTTCCCAGTGAAATTAAGCCGTGAAATAGGAATTTGTTTCCTCAGTTGGTGCTTACTTTCTTTTGAGATTCTCATTCTGGATTGTATTTAGCCGAGTGTTGACTTTACCCAAGTTGGTTTTGTTTGGTTATTCCCAGTGATTTGTGTCTGTGTTTTCAGCATATACATGATAACATCCATACATGTGTGTGTCATGCATAGCTGAATTTAACAATTCATTGCTCATCCGCATTCATTAATATGTTGTTGGCATGTTGTAATACCCCAAATTTGTCCTACCCTCTCACTTTTATCTGGCTTATGTCTCGCACTTTTCTCATGTACATAACGTCCATTAAATCATCTAACATATCATGCTTCATTAATCAATAAAATTGGCATCAGGATCAAGGGCTTGGTAATTAGGGTTTATCCTTGTTTTTGAGGCTCTCGTCTACATTCAAGGGCAATTCAAGTTATTTCCCTGACGATCATGACAATTAGGGTTTGCTTCAAAAGCTTCATTCAAAAGATCTCATACATAGAGATAGGATCCCAACTGATCTATTTTTCTCGAGTTAATGTTGGTGTTCATTACTTGGGTCATAAGGCATATAGAGATGGTTTCGTAAGAAAAATACACTTGGATTTCGTCAAGTAAAGTTTGTGGGCATATTAAGGCATAGTATTCCATGCGATCATTTGGATTTCTTACGCGATATGTTACTTTCACTCAACTATATCAAGCTAAAATTCTAGAGTTTACTTGTGAGATGATGGGCAGATCAAAGTGGTAGAAGGTGTGGGTCATTGAAACGCTTGAAGTCGTCAAAACACGAAGGATACTTTAATACCTTTTATTCCATTTACACAAAAGGAATACATTGAGAATAGATAAATAGAAATTGGTTCAAAGTTTGATTTTGATAAGAACACACGTTACAAGAAGCTTCCATTACAAAGACCATTCAAAACTTATTACATTCTATTACGAATATTACAAAGAAAGTATTCCTATTACAAGGTTTCATCCTTTACATTACACCATCTAATCCCATCATATTTCAAAATTCAAAATCCTATACAAGTACACAAAGGTACATTACACAAAAAAATATAGTTGCATCAATTGTCCCAAACCTATTTCATCCAATCTGTCTTGGAATTCTTGTCTTGTCCAGAGAGCTTTCATATGCTCTTACGACCATCTTTCAAGCCAACCAAACTCTATTTAGACTTGGCCTTTCATCCTCGTACCATCAAATTCCAAACCTGCAATCAAGAAAATTCTATCCAAAACAGTCTACACATTCAAGAAAAGAGACCAAAACAGTGGCACTTGAGTAAAAAATAAAAGCTACCAAATTCATTTAAGGGCATATCTAAATGGTTGATCTTCAAAGTCATGCTATGAAAACCAGTTCATTACTTCCAAAACAGAAAACTGATAAAGCCTGTAATCAACCTTACAAAACAACCTCTTAACTGTCAATACTGAAATAATAAAATAGAATTTCAACAACCTCCAACCCTCTAACCATTTTTCCAAATTCCAGCTTTAACCAAACCTTTTACCAATAAAAAATCAGATTTCCTGTAACTAACTATTTTCAGTGAAATTCCTATAAACCTCCAAAAAAAATTCTTCCTGACTAACTTCTCAACTGTCAGATTGTTAACCTATAACATTAATAGATAGCCTAACTGTCATCCTAACAATTGCATAACTAATTTCCAAACTGATTCTAACTGAATCTCAAACCTCGGACCAACCTAACGGTTTCTCACCCTCTAAACAATTCCTAACAGACTTTAACAAAATCTCCTAACTAACTTCCTAACTAACTTCTAACAGCTTACTAACAACCACCCTATCTGTTATTAACAGAACCTTCAATTAACTTCTCAAAAACTATAATAGAGTAACCACTCTAACCAACCTCCAACAAAGATAACTGAAAAGCAGAAGGGGAAGAACAGAAAACAGAGTTCCAACTAACTTTCATAAGCCTCTAATCGAATCATAACAGAATTTCTGGACAAAAATTGATTGTAACTAACTTCTAACAGTTACAAATAATAGAAAAGTACCCGAGATTGATCTCATTCTTGAATTTTTTAGAAGAATCTAAAAAACACTCCAGAAAAATTCTCTCACTTCTCTCTTTGAATCTTCATATGAACCCTCTTCAAATTCTCTCTTTCTCTGTGCAAACCTTCATTCATCATCATCCTTTTAATTTCAGAGAAGAATCATAAAAACCAAAAATTCTCTCTACTTCCTTCTTCGATTTTTAGGAACTTTATCTGCATCGAATTCAACACTACACCATTTCTCTCCATCAACAACATCCCCACTACAACTTTTGTTTAATCTTTTGCTTCATCTATCTACTGCAACATCGTTAACAACTTCAAATGATTTATAATTTTCATCATTCTCTGCAACCAGAAGAACACACCATTGTTTCACCACAACACACAATGACAAGAACAGAGCAAAAGAAGAATTAGGAATTGATAGAACCGCTCAAAAAATTGAAAATGCAAGGAGACTGAAAGTAGAAGGATTAAGGAATAATTTACCTCTAGATTCCTCGTTCGACGTCGTAGTTGAAGAGTTACCAGAACTCTCCAGTAGGTAAGCGCAGGGGCGATTGAATTCGCATTGTTCTCCATTTTTGGTTCTTAGTTGTGTTAAGACGAAGGAAACAAGGGCGAATCGAAAAGCATGAGAATATAAAGAAGAGGATAACGACGAGGCGATGAAGATGGATCCGATTGGTACCAAAGTTTAGGGTTTCACGATGTTGTTGAAAGAAGAGGAGAATTATGGGGTGAAATCGAGAGCATGACAAAGTTAGGTACGGATCGAAGAGAGGCAATGCGATGATGACATAAACGTTGAGCCGATAAGACGGCGGCGTTGCAAGCTTGAGGAAGGTAGGAGCCATTCATGGATGAGTTTGTAAGCGAGAGAGAAGAATATATTCTTGTGAAGACCAATGGATGATCATAGATATAATAGGGAAAAATATGATGATGTTAAACTCAAGCAAGCTGGACCACACTACTTCTTGGTCCATGACCATTTTTTTGGGTTTTTTGAAGTCCCTTGGACAAAAATAGCTATTGCTGGACCGGGCTGATTGGGCTCAGCACCTTTTCTACTATACCATCTTATTCAGACTTCACATATCCCTACTGTTTGGGTTATTTTAATTTCTCTTCAATAGTTTTTTTAATTTCTCTTTTGATAGCATAAAATCGTGATGAAATAGCGATACAAAAATAATTGCGATACAAAAATAGTAGAATATGTTATAATTCCTTAGGATTTATCTTTAGATTTTATTAGAATTTTCTATGATTTTCATGTTTAATAATCATTTTATTGTCATGTTTTGCTAAGAGTTCGTGATAGTATTGATGTAATTTTTCGCAATTGGGAATATTTGGAGATTAATTTTTGATTACTCATGCGGAGCAACTTCTGTAGAGTTCTCTTATCACTTGCGTGGCTTCGAAGAGGCAATGAACCTTCTTCGTTCGATATCGTCACAACTCTATTTTATTCTTCATTTCCGCACTTTACCGCTTTCTAGAAATCATGAGAGACAGGGCTTTACTGCCAACTATGCATGCTAACATTAGGTAGAAATTCTCCCTTTCATTCAAATCTTAGGATCACCATTGCATAATAACATTATGTGTAGAAATATACTAGTCTCCCTTTAACTTTTCTTTCCCTTTTTGCATATGCATTTAAAACAAAAACTTCTTTTTATTTCGAACTTCAAAAAACTTTAAAACTACTGATGAGAATCATGTCTTTGCTTAGTATGGGAAATGATAAGCGGGTCTCTTCTCGATCTTATTGTTCTTCATCTCAAGTCTAGGTGTGGTTCAATTCTCAAAGACTCCTTTCATGGATAAGTAGTAAAACGACTAATATCTCTCTCTTGAGGTTAACTAGCCGTTATATGCAGCAAAAAAATACAAACCAATTCAAATCATTTTATGCGCTCGAGCACCTTTCTCTAAAACCCTTTTCAGGTAAGGACATGATTAATTTACTTCTGTGCCAACGCATAAGTCTCCAAAGGTCGAGCTGCGGAAGAAGGCGGAATTAACATTGTCCATAAAAAACATAAAACAAATAAAAACATATGAGCCGAACTACGACAGCTCTGATTCCTCAAAAATGATACATAGGCATTGAGGTAGGGCCTAAGCAAGCACAATTTTATTTTCCCTACATTCTTTTCCCCTTTCTTTTGCATGCATTCTCCCTTTAGTAGTAGTATAGTAGATAACACGCATAGATTAAACACACCCATAAGATAGATAACAAGAGTGGATACCGTAGAGTACTACGGGCGTGTGAGGTGCTAATACCTTCTCCTCGCGTAACATACTCCCTTACCCGATCTCTCGGTCGCAAGACTGTGACTTCTCCCTTCTCATGTTTTCTTGATGTTTACCTTTCCCTACATGTGGGATAAAATATGTTCGATGGCGACTTCATTGTTTGATGATTTCCAGCCGGTAGTTTCAGCTGGCGACTTCACTGGGGACAGGTCGACCATATGCTGGTCCATCCCGGATGTCGCTCCTAGCTCTTGCTTTCTTTTCTTTGGGTGTTCATTTTTATGCTTTCACTTTATTCACTAATTCTGTATATACTTGAGCATATGTATGCATTGCATTTTACTGTCTTCCATATACTACTGTTGTATTGGATTTGCTTCTTGATCGGGTTGGGATGTTACTATTGAGGTAAAAGGCCCAGTACCCAGGCCAGAGTGCACTAGGACACTAGGAATAGAGTGGGGGAATGAAGGCTATAGGACGTGGTCCGATTAGTGCAGTCATGTCATATACCGCGCTCGGATGAGGTTCAATTAGAGGTACTTTCATTATGCACGTCTGTGTTGCGATGATTTTACTTTCAAGCGAACCCGTGATTTTCGAGTTACCATTGTCTTACCCTGACCTAGTCTTCACCCGCGAGTGATGGGGGGGGGGGGGGTTTCACAGGTACAAATGGGGACTATGCTCAGACAGTGACTATTGGTTCTAATGGCTATGTTATGGATTTCTGTTATGACTTTATGCATATGTTATATCCTGTTGGTGACCGTATGGTTCTCGGATTTATTTTCTGAGTTCCTGACTTGCTTACTTGGAGATTTATTCGAGCCTTTGATCTTGGTATTCCCAGCATATTCAGAAAATGCTCAACAGTATCCGATGTTCCAGAAGCCTTGATCCCATACAATGGGAGATCTACATGGTACTTGGTTCTTATATGTACAGAAGCTATGCCATACCTTTAATCTAATGATACTCATATGGTTCAGAACAGTGCAACAATCATATTCAGAAATGATGGGAACCTTTATCCCATTTGATCCCATGCCTTTGCATACATAACATGGTTAACCACATGTTTAACATACATGTTCTGTTATCTCCAAGGAATCACATTTGCAAGTCTTGTGCTAAACTCTTCCATCCCTTACTTGTGCAAAATCAAAATCAAAGCACGTAATGACAGAACATGACATGGCATTCATTCATGCACCCCATGCATATTCATGCATTCATAACAGGTACCCGAAGATTGGGGATTCTTATTCAGACCTAGGGTTATCTTCAAAGGTTCAACTTGATTTCTCACCGCACATGTTCAGGGATCAGATATGGAATAACTCTGAGTGGTACATACAAGCTTTGGCCCGTAGTCAGAAACTTCTTCAAGCAGGAAGATAATTGATTAAAGACTCGGATAAGTCAGGTCATGGAAACTCTGATAATAATGTCAACAATCTTGAACTTATTGTTGCAGCAGATGGTTCCCATTTACTGTAGGATCTTACATCAGTTCTCCATCCTTGTTGACCAACGTCAGATGTGGTTGCTACACCGGGGCATCCGACTATCCAATAAGGGGCACTCTCCATAGCCTTGTCTTCCCTGATCTGTTCGACAACAGTCAGTCTTTATTCCCCTGTTGAATTCATGAAAAAATAATTTAAGCAAAGACAAAAGAAGCCTGATGAGCATATTGATGTGGGCCCAATGCATTACAGCCCGTTCTTTCCAACTCCGATCTTTGGGATCCTTCTTCCACAAACATCTCTTCCGATTGCAATACACATGCTAGATGTACCCCGTATTCTGGGGCACCCGGTTTTGATGTAGAAGACTGTAAAGGGGTTGAAGTATAAAGCTCAGCACCTGTCTTGCGTCTCTTTCAAAGGTCCAATTCCTATTTGGTCAACTGCCAGGATCTTTCTCACGAGTCAGATGTCTCTGTTGTTCTGAGAGAAGACGAACTGCATTATTTCTTTGAAACACGATATGCTTGGTGATGCAGTTTATACCAATTTGTTGGCTAAGTCATTCATTCATTCTCCTGAAAGGATCTTCTATGATTATTATACTGGGGCACCTGGACATTCGATTGAAGGTATGTCATCCAGAGACGGGTCCAAGACAAGATCAGTTCGAAGACTGTCATGTTCACATCAGAGCAAAAAGGGAATTCTCTCGCACACTCAAGCATCAAGACTACAGAAAGTCGTCAAAATCAAGAAATCCATACGGAGTCAAGTCTCCTCAACGATGGCAACCATTGGTTTCTTTAACTGCATTTTCATTTTCATTCTTGCTTGTTTGTTTAAACATTGCTTGTATGTAGAAACTTGTCTATTTTTTGAATGAAAATCTTAATGCAATAAGTATGCTTGCCTTGAAGTGTTTCTTTCATTTTTACTCATCCATTCGTTATCACTCTTTAAATGTTTTACTTTCATATTGATGTCGATTTTCCAAGTCTTATGCTTAGGTAAGGAATTGGAAGGAGGATGACGATAATCTAAAAACACAAAAATCTCTGGTTGGTATGCTTTTGAGTAAGACCCTGCTGACGATGTACATACCTTGTTTCAATTCCTAAACACTAGAGATATAAGGGAGATAGACCCTCATCAACCCCTCTGATCCTTCGAAGTAGGAGTTTCTTTTTTGTTCAGAAAAACCCTCATTTTAACCCTGGGGCGGGTAGTGTTTAGTTGATCTGATCAAGCATTCAGAACTCATCAAGAGTGTGCATCCAAGGATACAACAATGGTTATCCATCAAAAGGTTGAGGAAAGCCAAAACCACAATGGTTAACCCTCATCTATCAGCAACGTGCATCTATTGATGACATCCCAATGGGTATCTCTCGCGCATCGGGAGGTAAACAAATGACGATATAATAATGGTTATCCATCATCTACTAAAGACCCAGGCAGTCACGATCACTTCCAACAAATCAAAAAACGCAAAGATCAACGACTTGTTCAAAATGGAAAATATGGATAAGAAAGAAACAAAAATCCCTGCTAAGTCAAAACTTGAAAACAAGTTGCTTAGGCAACAGTTGGGGCATCCCGCTGGACTTCCAAATCGAGATTCAAAAGAATATGTCCAGGAAAAAGCAATAAGGGAATTAAAAAAGCCTAAAAGGATGAGAAAAGGATTACCAATGAAAATCCTCATCAAAGAACAAAGTCGTCTGATCAAACACCAAAAGCAAAAGATGAAGCAACTGTCGTGTCCAAGAAACCACAATGGTTCCTCAATCATCGTAAACTCTTCTCGAGAGATGAAGGTTTGTATCGGGTCGAGTGAACGTAGGAATGGAGAACATCATGGAGAATGGGTGGGCACCAAATAATTTTGAGCCTTAAATCCTTTTTTCTAAAACCGTGAACCAGGCCACGTTACAACCCATAAAAGTCCAAATTGAAGCACAAGTCAATTCGAAAGTGTGCTACAATGAGATAGAATTTAACTGACTCCTAAGAGGTACGTTTGAATATCTGTGTTGGCATCGTGTGCTTGCATTATATTTCGTAAAAAAGAATTTGAAAATGTTTCTCTCTAGCTAGTGACTCGTTCA